AGTCTCCACCTTGGTGTCAAACCACCGCCCGCAGCTCTTCACTACCAATCCCGAGCGACCCAAAAGTAACTTCTTCACATTCGAACAATACTAGACTCGTCTTGTAGGGTTCATCGAGACGGTGCAGTAGGCTACAGTTTTCTCAATAGATGCAATCAAGTGCCTGCATACTAAGCTAACAAGAAATGCAAACGTGCTGAAAGGATGGAACAGGGGCAGGATCGGAGTAATAAAAACCAGAATAGAGATAGCTCGCGAGCTAATCTACAAGCTTGACTTAGCACAGGAATAAAGATGTCTCTCACAGGAGAAGATTGCTTTCAGGCAGTTCCTAAAACAAAAACTGCTGGACCACACTGCCTTGGACAAAGTCCGCTTATGTCAATGATCCAGACAAAGTTAGATTAGAGCACGGGATGCAAATACCTGGTTCTTCCAAATAAAAGCTAGTGCAACGAAAAGAAAAAAAACTTCATTCAGCATCTTCTGACCGACAATGGCTTGGTTCATAAACAAGAGGACAAAGAAAAGGAACCACTCAACTTCTACCGACAGCATTTAGGTGAACATAGGGAGCACACCTCTACGATTAACTTCGGCTTCTTACAGGAACTAGTACAGGACCTTTCAGAACTCGATGAACCTTTCACAAAGGATGAAAACAAAATAGCAGTCTTCCAATCTAGGTCAGACAATGCCCCAGGATCAGATGGCTTTACAGGCACTTTCTTCAAAAAAAAATGCTGGGAGATCATATAGGGCGACCTGACACAAGCTATAAATCAGGCAACAAACCTCTCCTCACACAGCCCGTGGCTACTAAATTCTGCCTACTTTGCCCTTTTGCCTAAGTGAGCGACTTCAGATCGATAAGCCTCATCCATGCCTTCAGAAATTTTTTTCTTCAAACTCCTTGCAAACAAGTTGGCTCCAAAGCTGCAACATATGGTCTCCAAGAACCAAAGTGCCTTATTAAAGGGAAGGAACATACATGACACTTCCTTTTCATCAACAACATGGTTAAAGAGCACCACTCCTCCAAAACTCCAGTGATCCTTCTCACTTGACATAGGAAAGGCCTTCGATTCTATCAGTTGGCCATACCTCCTCAACCACTTGAGATCACATGGTTTTGGGCACAGGTGAATCGGCTAGGTAACGTCTATCCCAGTGAGTGCTTCCTCAAAGGTGCTTCTAAATGGCAGGGCAGGGAAGTGTTTCACGCATGGTCGGGGTCTCTGATAGGGTGACCCCCTCTACCCAATGTTGTTCATCCTGGCAATTGACCCATTGCAAAAGCTCTTACTCGCAGCTCAAGAAGCAGGCCTTCTTCAATCGCTCCATCGTCGAACTACTCGCTTCAACATAGCCCGGCCTATATGTATATGGCATGGTGGTGTTCACACATTCGGACTGATAGGAACTCCAAACAGTGCAGGCCATACTACAAAGCTTCGGGAGTGCTACAGGAATGGTCACCAATCTAACAAAGAGCGAAGTATATGCCATTAGGTGTGAAAACCACAATTTACAGGACATCCTGGCCCCATTCCCAGCTCAACAAAAATCCTTCCCCTGCACTTACCTTGGACTACCTCTGCACATAAGAGAACTTCAAAAATTGGATGTTCAACCTTAATTCATAGGCTTTCCGTAAGGCTCCCGACTTGGAAAGGGAAGCTTCTAAACAAGACAGGTCGCTCCGTTTTGGTAAATCAACCCTTTCGGCCCTACCAACATACCACCTCACAGTTTTCTCTCTCAAGAAGTGGGCGAAAAAAAGATGGACAAATTTCATCTAGGGTTTCTCTAGACAGGTTCAGAATAGGCCCAATGTGGACATTGCCTTATCAATTGGAAGAAGGTTTGCAGGCCAAAGAACCTAGGGGCCTTAGCATGATTGGACAGCGGATGATAAACCTTGCCAAGGCTACAACCTGCCTTGTGATGAAACTGACAAGCAGTCTGTCAGGGCATCAACGATAATAACCCTAGGGAATGGAGGCAAAGCCAAATTCTGGCATGACAGATGACTAAAGGGAAATCACCGAAGAAACTCTCACCATCACTTTACCAGCTGGCGACAAGGAAGAACAGGACAGTGGCATAGGAACTACAGGTACACCGCTGGTTGAGACCACTGAGGAGAATGAACTCGACTACTCAAGTTAGAGAATTCATCCTTCTATGGAATCTCATCATACAGTTTCATCTAGAGGAAGGGACATAGGATAAATTAACTTGGAGGTGGACACCAAATGGGATTTACTCGGCTAGTTCAGCATAGTGCATCCAATTCACAGGAAGCTTACAAGATGTCAGGTTCGGCTACATTTGGAAAGCAAAACTGAAAACAGGTGCAAATTTTTCAGCTGGCTAATGGTGCAAAAGAAAATCCTATCCTCGGACAAGCTTCAGTTTAGGGGCTGGGATAACAGCCCAATTTGCTCACTCTGTGGTATAGAGCCTGAAACAAGTGTGCACCTCTTCATGGAGTGCTTTTATGCGAGACATGTATGGAACAACATCTGGCTGAAGCTAGGCCTTCAGATTCCATCACTGTCTCCCTTTAATGGTGACATGCTTGAGTGGGGGAAAGCTTCTAGGAAGCAAATGATCAAAGAACAAAGGAGGTATTTCAACGGTTTAATCATCTACACAACATGGGGAATTTGGCTCCAAAGAAATGATCAAGTCTTTAATGATGCATATGGCTCGGTGCAACAAGTGGTGAATTCCATCATCACCATGTGCAAAGCCTACGATGAAGCGATCAGTTGTCTTTGCAACATTTGATGCTGTTTGTTGCCTTGCATTCTCTCAAAATACCCGTGCCCCTCCCTGCTCTTTTTGGTGGCATCTCTTTGTGTCACCCTTACTTGCTGAAACCATGTATGTTGGAACTTTGTTTTCTCTCCTATAATTGAAATGGCAGAGCTCCTGCCTGTTCCCTCCAAAAAAAAAGAAACCTTCATCAAAAGATTATATTTCTTGAGATAAAAACCCATACACGAAGAAGTCTCCTCCAATGATACAAGAAGACAACAAATTTATATGCAGGCATAATAAATTATATATTTATAGGCAAAAACCAAAACAATATTCTATTTCAATGATTTTAGATAATTTAAATCTATTGATTGTGAAATAAAGAACTAAGAAATCTAAAAGAATGGAAATAAAAAGGGCGGGGGGGGGGGGGCATCACTTCGCTTGTTCTACCCCCGAGATTAAAAAGCAAGTTCCCTGAAATAATATGCACATGTGAATGGTCTTTCAATAAAACATGGCACCCTTAAATAATATGCACATGTAAATGGTCTTTCAATAAAACTTTTGTGGGATTAGTGATATGTCACTGGTTTGCGCCTCTTCGAGCGTGTGTTAGGGAATGCTTTTGCGGGTGTAAATGTGGTGTTGCGTGTAGTTGTGTTTGTGCATCTCCCATGTACTCAAAAAAAAAACACAATGTTCCAATTTGTTGTGTCAGCATGTAGGAGATCTCTGTGGAGGAGGATCCGTGGGAGAAAAATACGAAAGATACAGCTCACACTGCATCGACCCCTTCCATAAATGAATAATTCATGATGACTATAAATTCGACAATTTCACCATCTAATAGAGACCCTCTCCGACTCTCTATCCTGAATTATAAGCACTTTATGTTTTTTTACAGGAATCAAGAAAATGAATGAATTTAAATGGAACGGTTGGGATGATTGACATGAGGAGGTAGGCAAAAAAAATAAATGAATGAGGGAGTATGCAGGGTTGAAAATTTCGGTAAAATTTCGATCCCCCTTAAGCAAATATCTTGCCCTAAATTTTTGGGATTTCTTTTCAAATATTTATGAATTTGATCAAAATTTATTCAAATTTAGTCAAAAATATTAAAATCTTAAATAATTTCGTGAAAAAAAACAAAATTCTCAAAATTTCGTTGTGTATGAAAATTGCAAACTCCGGGAGTATGTAGAGAAGTTAGACAAATTTTAAACCCTATAGACTACTGACTGTAATTTACCAGAACTGCTTGTGTGTTTTGAACGTTTCGTACAAGACAGTGCGAAGTTTTATTGATAGAGCAAGAGAAAAATTATAAGATTACCCTTGAAGATCGTAACCAGAAAAAGGAAAAAAAAGTATACCACCACTCACACATCGACATTGCAACACATAGAACCAGAACTGCTCGTGTGAACCAAACACGTACTTTACATAGTTTTAGCCTTAATTGGATGGTAGCATGGGCTTGATTGGCAGTTTGGCACGCACTCAGTCGCTGATCCTGCCTACCATAACAGAAGAGAATTCTCAATATGCACTACAGAGCAGAGACTTATCCCTTCAGCTCACACCTCACAGCCTACGTGTACTCTGTCCATACGATTTACCCCCAAACACAAGTGGATCACACCAGCCCATAGAGTTTGGTGAGCATGATGGGTCGTCAACAGCACCAAAAACGGCCCACCTCTTTCCCCGAAAATCAACGTGCTGCTGCAGTTGTAACTCTTATCCTCTGGCCCCACCTTATCACCAATCCCTGTCCTAATCACTTCCCTGTCAACCTGGGGTAATTACTTACCCTGTCCCCACCAATACATGATGCATATGTCTTCTTCCGTCTCATGTAATGGATCAAACAGGATACTATTTTGATTTGGCACTTTAATTTTTTGATCTTAATAAGCTACCTTAATACTACTAGCAAGCGTTAAGGCAACAAATTAAGCAGAGCTATCCTAATCAGTACTAAATCGTATATATATTCATCTAGTATCTAGCTAGATTCTGTGGCGTTTAAAACATTTGATATTGGATTATTATTAGTATAAAAAGAAGTGATTAAACCACTAACTTGAGAAGGATATGTTAGACTGTTAACAAATAATAACCGGTAATTATTGCAGAGACTGCTTTCATTATTAAAAAAGAGGAAGAAAAAGGACAAGCAAAGCAAAGCGCCCTCAGGAAAAAATGATGATGCCTATTTAATCCCCCACACCTCCGCCTCTCCCCTCTCCTCTGTTTCACTTTCACACCTCTCTCTCTCTCCTCTCTCTTCTTTCTCTCTCCTCCATTTTCTCTCTCTAGTTCTTGGGATCTTTGAGTGGAAATTCTTGGACATGGACGACGACGGCGACTGGATCACAGCGAGGTACCTCCTCTCGTCGATCCTCGGGCGGAACCCGCTCGTCGTCGATTACGTGGACGAGGAGTCCTTCCCCGTCGAGGACCCTCCCCCGGTGGCCGGTGGCGCCCGTGGAGGGAGGCAAGCGGTGGTGTCGCAGCCGCCGGTGGTGCGCGCGACGGCGGGCGTGGCCGGGACGGTGTGCTCGGTGTGCACGGAGGAGATCGCGGTGGCGGACGCCGTGGTGCGTCTCCCCTGCGCGCACTGGTACCACGCCGGCTGCATCTCCCCGTGGCTCGGAATCCGGAGCACATGCCCCATGTGCCGCGCCGAGCTGCCGGCCAGCGACGACGCCGCCGAGGAAGGCGGTGGTGCCGGCCGGGAGAAGCCGCCGCGCGCGGGCCGCGCCGGGACTAGCGCCGGCGGCGGTGTCAGGCGTGACGCGTCGTATGAGCTCCTCGCCGGCGGCGGCGTCTTGTCTGGCTGAGTCGCTGAGCGTGTGGGCCCAAGGGATTACGCGTCGTTGTTTGGCCGCTCGCGTTTTCGTTTGTACAGAAGAAGAATTGATTAATGAGAAGGGAAAAAAAACATAAATTTTGATCCGAATTTAAACGTTGCTTTAGTTCAGTTACTTAGCTAGTACTAATACTCCTAGTTAGCTTGACGTTGGGGTTGCGAAATCGCAACGAGAAAGAAAAGCGTTACTTGTGAGTGTGCGCGTTGAAATGTTATGCTACGATCGAAAGAAGCGTGCGTCCTGGTGATCAAGTGGGAACCAGATTCCTTCCTAACTATCAATCATTTATTGGTTATTATATCTATAATATAAAGATTGGTTTTCAAATATTCTTGGTTATTCTTCATAGCAAACTATACTAATTAACTGTGCATTTCGTAAAAGCTTTTTCGTACTGGGGTGCATTTTACACATTTTATTCAGTGTTGTTAAAATTTTGCAGACAATAATAATAAAAGATAAAGAAAAAAAATTGGAGTTGAGTAGGTGAGTATATGGGCTTTAATATGTTTAATTCGGCTACTGGGTCCACATTAATTCGAGAAAGAAACGATTGAATTTGAAATATTAGTACAAGAAAATTAAATTAACCGGTGTATATACGCCAGTTTAGGACTACTTTAGTAGTCTACAAAGCTTAAGAACTACTCGCCTCACTGGTTGCTTTGAACACAATTAATTGATCGATGTTCTGTTTTGTTTCATTATTTGCAGGTTAGTTGACCAGTTATATTCAGATGGCAAGTGCACAACTTTCACTTTGTTGAGGCCCTGAGGAATTAGTGGTGATTAAATTAATTAATATCCACCCAACGACCCGGTTGCTTGTTCCGCGTTTGGTTCATATAGAGGCTAGCTGGTTGGTGCGTAGTAGTAGTACACCGGCCGTATATAGGTGTAGATAATTCCAAATCGTATTGATCTGGTCTCAGTTTCGTGTATTACATTAATAATATATTTAGGGCTGTCTATCGCTCACACATGACACCGACACACACAATCATCTTGCTTTCGTCGTCCTATGAATTGTTCGGAAATCTCCGACTCGAACACTGCGGTGCTTAATTAATTAAACCGCGTTTTATACTGGCTTAATTTTTTTTATATATAAAACAGGAAGATGATTGTGCACTAATGTGCACACTGGGATATAGAGGCATAGAGATACGACAGAGTATGGGTGTAAAATGTGCACTCAAATGTGAAAGAAAAAAGAAAAAAAAAGAGATGTACAATACGATAGCCTGCATATAACAGCAAATAAAAACTAAGGACTTGATTAGTTCCTAATTTTTTTTCCTAAAAATTCACATTGAATCTTTATATATACATAGAGCATTAAATATAGATAAAATGAAAAACTAATTACACAGTTTGCATGGAAATCGCGAGACGAATCTTTTAAGCCTAATTAGTCCATAATTAGCTATAAGTATTACAGTAACTCACATGTGCTAATGATGGATTAATTAGGCTTAATAAATTCGTCTTGCGGTTTCCAGGTGAGTTATGAAATTAGTTTTTTCATTTGTATCCGAAAACTCCTTCTGATATCCCGTCAAACGTTCGATGTGACACCCAAATATTTTCATTTCGCGATCTAAAAAGGGCCTAATTTGAACTGTATAGTATCCCCAGTCACTAATACCTCCTAGATTCCTTTTTCTGTGTATTTAGAGGTATTTTTGGCTCCTAGTAAAAAGGGTTAATTCGATCCATATATGCCATTGAAAATATATCTATTTAAATAAATGTCATTACAATTCGTGTATTCGTAGATATGCTATTGAAATTTTATAAAATTAGAAGCGTGCCACTGCCGTCTGTTTTTTATTTTCTTCCTCATCAGCACGTGGGACCCACATGTCATATTCATCTTCTTCCTTCATCCTCTCCTCTTTTTCCCCATCTCTCTCCACCACCACAACTCGCCCTGTCCGGTGGCAGCGGTGGGCACGACCGGCGAATCTGGCGGTGGCAGCGTCGGGCGCAACTAGCGAATCAGACGATGGTGGCGTCAAAGCATGACCGGCAGCGGTGCCTCTCTTCTTCCCCATCGCTGCAGGACCTCGGCTCCCGCTTTGGCCTCTGAACCGTCTCTAGATTCTTCTCTCCTCCTCCACCTCACGCTTGCCCCTAATGACGTCGACGCTTCCCGTCGACCTCCTGGTGCTTGCTCGTGTCATCGTATTCTTGTTGCCACCTCCGGGTCGGTGAGCACCTCATGTCGGCCGCTCTCCCTTGCGGCAGTGCTCTCCCCGCTCTCCTCATCCTCGGGCCTCTCCGACCGCCTCCTCACCGCCCGCCGCGAGCTCCACAAGCGGTAGGAGCACCTCGCCACCATCTTGAAGTCTTTGCCGCCGCCGCCGCCAGGTCTGCTCGTGCCGTGCCATGCCAGATCCGCTGCCAACGGTTCTGCTCGGCCCGTGTCGTGCCAGATCCGCCATGCCACCGGCACTTGCTCTACTGCCGATGCCGTTGAAGGTCACGGCGGCCATGGATGGATGGATGACGACGACGAATATTGAATATAGGAAAAGAGAAGAAGACAATGGAGAAGGAAATAGATGGATGAAAAATGTGATAGCAATGGCACGGTTCTAATTTTATAAAATTTCAGCGGAACATCTATGAATACACGAATTGCAATGATATTTATCTAAATAGCCATATTTCCAATGACATGGATCGAATTAACCCTAGTATAAAAATAACGTGTGGTGGCTATTTTAAAAAAAAAACTTCTCGTGTTTGCACCAATATCACGTATCCTCGAACCGAGTAACGTCCTGTTGCGTTTTCTCTGAAACATCGTTTTTCAGATAAATATAACACGAAAAAGAAAAAAAATATGCTTCTAAAGGTAACATTGTAAACATAAAAAACCACATGAATTTTTCCGAAAAATATACTTAAGAGTGCATGCACAAACAATATACTCTTCCTCAGTCTCGGTCTTAAATAAGTTGATTGTTAGAGTTTAAAATTTATCTTAAATAAATTAATTTTATCTGTTTTCCCCTCAAGTCTGTCCTTAATTAAGGAGATTTATCTCTTTAGTGAGGCAAAGGAACTTTATTTTTTAAAAGCATACTATAAACGCAAGTGCTCACAACACGCACACACTCACTCCTGTAAAAGCGCACACATGCACCCTATTTTTATGAGAACCTTTGAAGGATTGGACCAACAAATCTTAAGATTGATAAAGTCACCACGGACAACTCTCTATCGACGGGTATATCGTCTACTGGTAAAAGAATATGTCCAATTACGGACCCAACATAAAAATATTATAGGAATGGTAAACTTGTAAGACACACGAATACCTATACGCAATATACTGTTATCGTGGCATGTTGTTCGTAAAAATACTGACATGGAAAAATACTGACATGGAAATACGTAGAAAGGGCAGTGCACACACACTTCCAAATATCCAATTATAAAGTAAAATCATATAAATGACTTATTTCTATCGAAGTGTGGTACTGTTGGAATATATATATATATATATATATATATATATATATATATATATATATATATATATATATATATATATATATATATATTCCTTTAAAAAGACTTCGATGGTGACGGTGAATCTATCACCTCACCTCACCTACTTTAATCGTAGTTTTTACATATTACCCCTTGAACTTCTTATTATATACAAAGTAGATCTAAATGGATAGCCTCATATAAAATTAAATTGAGGTGAGTATTCCTTGTAGTATGCTTTTATTTGTGTTAGGCAATATTATGATATATTTTTTATTTTATTTGTAGCAACACGTACGGGAATTTAGCTAGAGCTAGTCGATCATTATATGTGAAGCTTGAAGGCCACTGGACCAATGTTCCAATCTTCCAAATATATTTTTCAAACATTTGCTGCTATAAATCAGTAATGATACTTTTGCTCAAATCCAGAATAAAAACCCAGCGGATGTAGTCAATAGCATTTAATTAGTATATTAGCTTGTACAAATTAGAGTACAAATTATATAGACTAGGATGTGTTTGAATAATGGGAAATAGGGGGTGGGATTGGGATTGGGAAATGAATGAAGGGTTAGGATTAAATGGAAGAGGGAGAATGAATGGTTAGGATTTAAAGATGGGTGGGAAATCATTTTCTTTTCCCATTTGCCAAATACTCCCTAGTAGTGTAACCATAAGGTTCAGAAATCAGAACAAAAGAAAAACGAAAGAAATTGATCGTTGTGGCTTAACGTCAGAGACTAGCTAGTCAGGTCAAAGGCCCTGAACTGGCAACTGCAATGCACTAACTACTCTCACTGTCCCAAATTAAATAAGTTAATCTAGTATGAGATGTGACATATTCTAATGTATCAATGTCTAAATTTATAGTACTAAGATATGCCGCATCCCATACTAGATTACTTATTTTGGGACAGAGAGATACATGCCTACGTAGTATACACATAAAGAGAGATACATGCCTACGTCGTATGCTTATAAACAGGTAGTGAAATGACAGTTTTACAACTGAGCTCGCTTTCTCTTTTTCTGGAAATACGCAAAAGAATTGTACACCTTTGTATTATTAAGAGGAATAACATTTACATGTGTAACCAAGCAAAAAGCAAACAAGAATTGGGGTTGGGAGATGGAAACGAAAAATAGATGATCTTAAGCTTACTCCCGTGCTAATAATGTGACGGCCTAGCACCCTACACAGGAAGTGCAGGAGACGAAGGACGGGAAGCCATCAAAGGGTGGATTCTTGCGCCATGGCCATGACAACCTCATGTCAGCACCGTGTGTAGTTATTGAACACACGATTGTTCCTTTCCTTCTAAATGGCCCAAACACCAAGGGTCACTATTGTGTCAAACCTACGACGTCGATCCTGTTGAACTTTGAGTCGACTGGAGCATAGCCACTCGTGAAAGGATGCAATGCTAGAGAGGAAGCATTGAAGGAGGCCAAGGCTTGATAGAACGATTCACCGCAGCTGGAGGGACTCCAGGCACTCAAAGCTCGCTTGCTTCTTGTCTTTGTCGTCACTGTTCAGGGTTGTCATGCCAGAAGATAAGGTATGACGGCAGCTATACCACATTTTTCAATAAGGGAAGATCCGTATCAAGTTTACCAAGTATACCTAGGTTTATATCTATTCAGTCTGACTTGAACTTGGTAGACTAGTTAAAAAAAACTAACAGTAGAGCTACACTCATTTTGTGAATGAGGGGAACTATAATCAAATTTTTGTCCTACTAAAGTATTCTGTCCACTTATTTTGCACATATACGTTCACAATAATATTCACATGTAGCTCTGCCTTTTTATATCTAAATGC